CTCTCTCTCTCTCTCTCTCTCTCTCTCTCTCTCTCTCTCTCTCTCTCTCTCTCTCTCTCTCTCTCTCTCTCTCTCTCTCTCTCTCTCTCTCTCTGAATGTTTAGAATACTTAATAGTTTTTTGATAAAATATAACCCACATAGTTTTAATTATAGAAGACTGTACCATAACAAAACTGTAAAATGATCACTTTATGGTTATGACAAATTGCAGAGCGAATGCATTCTATCGATCAGTCTTGCACCAAAGCCGAGAATTTTTTTATCATTAAAAGAGAGCTGTAGAAATAGAGAAAAAGATTCTGAATGTAATTTTAGGTATGATGACGTCACTTACACCTGCGGTCGCGTGCAAATGAATGATGGCTCACCCACACACACCCACACACACACGCACACACACACACGCACATTCAAAATTGCACACACATACACATACACACCACACACACCAATAACATTATACAACATGTACATTTATGAAGATGATGTTATAACAATAGTCATGATGATGACGATGATGAAGATGATGACGACGACGATGAAGATGATGACGACGATTAAACCTTTGTTTCATTGTACTTTCATCTTATTACAATGAGTTGTGAAACTTCAAAATACAAAAAATTAACATACATACATGTATTTAAATGTATGAATTGTTATAAATACATACTTCATAAATTTTTAAACTCCCACCTACCACATCTCTGTTTAAATAATTTAAAAGGAAACTTAATATGTTGTCGCTTTTGGCATTTATTTTCGTTACTAAAGTCTAAAATCCATTTATCAAATTAGTGATTTAGTGATTAGTGATTTGATTAAAATAATGTTTATTTAATTTTTTATTTCAATTATGCTGAAACAATACTTTGTTCATGATCTATAAATTCAATCAAGTTTATGTTGAGTTTCTTTCAGTTTTGACCTGATTTGTTTTTCAATAATTAATTAAAAATTTATAATATAAAATATAAGGACGAGGTATTTATATTTATTCTTAAACCGAATTTTTTATTTAATTATTTACAATTTAAAATTTATTTAGTGTTAAACCCAACATAACATATGTTTGTTTGTCTTTGTTGTTTAGTTAATTTTAATAAGTTAGTTTGTCTAGCTTTAGTTTAGTTAGTTTAGTTTAGAAGAGTTTAGTAATTTAGTAGTTTGTTTAGCTTTAGTTAGTTAAGTTTAGAAGAGTTTAGTAATTTAGTTTAGACCCTAAACTTTAGGGTAGTTTAGAATAGGACCTTCTTTTGTCTTGTGTGATGTTTTTTATTTAATTTTTTTCATGTTTTATTAGGTGAATCATCAGAAAGACTCATTGCTAATTCTCATTTGTTGCGTATACTTCTTCTCTATAGCTCATTATTGCAAAGAAAAATCACAAAATGGCTTTCAACAACAAGAATGGTCTCAGAGATTACGGCTCAAACCAATCCCCAACAATCATTGGTGTGTTTTTATTCAATTTAAGTTCACTTTTAGTAAAAATTTCATTAAAATATAATAAAATAAGACAATGACATTGAAAACTTTTTAGCCATCTTACTTACTAAACAATCAACCAAATAACCAGTTAACTGATTAACCAATTATTCAATCAATCGACCAATCAGGTGGCCCAAACATGTCTGATTTTAATCGACTCAGACATACGATTAGTGAAAACTGTCAGAAGATTAGGCGAAATAGTAAGTAGACGATGATGACGAACAACGGTAATGATGAGGATTAAAATGACGAGAGATGATATAAATTATAATATAGAATAATTATATTAATAATTATTTTAATAATTATTGTTATAATTTTTTATTCTCTTACATCATCACAGATATACAGATGCAGAAGATGGTCAGTCAGATTGGTGGACCAACGGACAACCTCGAACTTAGAGATAAATTGTTTGTTATAATTATTATTATTTATAATTTATAACTTATTGTTGTTTATTATTATCATAATTATTTTTATTTTATGATTGTTGTAGTTAATGATTGAAAGAGAATGTAATGTTGAGTTGCATACGATAGATAGGAATCTTATTGAATTCGAACCTGGTAATCGAGCGGTGCAGTCGCAGGCAATCCTAACCATTAGTCTATTCTGTTGCCACTTAACTTATTATAACTATAATTTGGTTATTACTCTATATCAGGCATAAGGTACAGCATCAGACGAATGAATTGGCTAAAGAGACCAATAGAAATCTGCAGACACTGTCTAGTCTAGTTGTTCTTCCGTCTGATGTTTGTTTGTTTGTTTGTCTTGTTTGTTTGTTTTTATGTGTGTACGTTGCTGTATTTAATTGTTAATCCCAATCCTAAACTGTTAATCCCAATCCTAAACTGTTAATCCCAATCCTAAACTGTTAATTCCAATCGTAATACTTATCCAAATCTTGCATTCCAAATCCTGGTTTTCCCAAATGCAAATTCAAATTTCCTTAAAACCCACACAAACGTTCAGAGCAGACAGATCAAGGACCAGCTGACTTCGGAGTTTACCACAGCCCTCAAGGACTTCCAATCCCTGCAGAGGTCACAGATGTCGGAGGAGAAGAGGATGCTGATGAAGAGGAAACAGCAACAGCAGCAGCAGTTGCAGCATCAACTTCGAGGCAAGCATGTTAATGTAAGTCGTTAATGTTGTTGTTGTCGCTGTTGTTGTTGTTGTTTTGTTGTTGTTGTAGTTTATTCATTTGTTGATAATTTTTAATCCTCAAGCTCATGGATACAAGAGAATCAGGCCATGGTAATAATGATGATGAGTTGAGGAATGGCGATGATGATAATGAAACGTTCGGGTTATTATTATTGTTGTTTTCGTTGTTGTTGTTCTCGTTGTTGTTGTAGTTGTTGTTATTATTGTTACTATTTTAGCCAGCAGCAACAGCAGACTGGAATATCAAAAGAGGACATAGAATTCTTGCAGTATTCAGAAGGACAAATAAAACAACTTGAAGTATGTATGCATGTGCGTGTGTGTGTGTGTGTGCGTGTGTGTGTGTGTGCGCGTTTGTGTGTGAAATGTGGTGCTTATATAGTGCTATAAACTGGTAGTATGCAGTGCTCCATCCCCTGATGATGTATAATTTGGTATTTGGAAATGTAATATTATTCTTGAGTAGTTATCATTATGTATAAGTTCTCGTTATGTATAATTTGAAATTTATGAAAGTATGTATCATATGTATGTGTGTGTGTGTGTGTGTTTGTGTGTGTGTGTGTGTGTGTTTGTATGTATACAATTTTTACAATTGTTTATGCTATTTTCATTTCATTTTAGACAGATATATCAGACATAAACCAGGTTTTTAAAGATCTAAGTCTCCTGGTACATCAGCAAGGAGAGATAATCGGTTGGTTGTTGTCGTTGTGTTGTTGTTGTGTTGTTGCTGTTGTTTTAGTGTTGTTGTTGTAGTGTTGTTGCGTTGTTGTTGTGAAGTTGTCGTTGCTGTGTTGTTGATGCAAGCCATGGATTACTTACATTCAGACTTTAGTTTTCGGCGTTTAACAACGATAAATAATATTAATAAATGAATAATAATAACACCAACAATAATAATTATAATAATAATTATTATTATAATAATAATATAATTAATGGTAACAATGTTAATGATGGTAACAGATAGTATTGAAGCTCACACAGAATCAGCCAGTTACAATGTGGCTAGTGGGACGAATGAGCTTATGATGGCCAAATCGTACAGGGTTATTATCAAATACATTCATTCATTCGTTCATTCACTCATTCATTCATTCATTCATTCGTTCGTTTGTTCATTCATTCATTTGTTCATTCATTCATTAATCCATCCTAATTTATTCAGGATAAGATCAGAAAACGGAAGTTTTGTATTATCGCAATCGTTACTACGGTAATCGCCATCTTGTCGCTTGTGGTCATCATCGCAGCTTCAAAATCTTAGACGACGATGATGATGATGATGGTGGTGATGATGATGCTGATGACGGTGTTGATAGTGATTGTCTTGCTGTTGATGAAGATGAGGAGTAGGATGATGATGATGATGATGACGATGACGATGACTAGTTTATTTTTACTCAAGTTTTTTCTGTTTCGTTTATAATTTCAATTATGTTTTTCAGCCTAACTTTAGTTCTTTTCAAGACCATTCCTTCTTCATTACAAATTGTGTGTTTGTGTGCGTACGTGTGTTTGTATGGGTATGTATTTCATTTTCGTATGTGTGCGTATATATAGAAAATGTATTGTTGTAATCAAAATTCTTGACGTTTTTATAACATATTTCATTTTAGTTAACTTGAGTTTTTAGATTTTTTTTACAGGTTCTGAATAGATCTTCAGGTTTTAGCGATTTTTATATTGTTTTGTTCATTTGTTTGTTCGATCATTCATTTGTTCGTTCATTTATTCATTCATTCATTTATACATTCATTCATTCATACATTGTCTCACACGTACATTTAACTTAACCCTATGTTGATTCACCTTTATATATGTACAATGTATATATATATATATAATAATAATAATTTATACTCATTATAATTATCATAATAAATGTAATTATAGTCATAATTTAAAAGATCTGTGCTGAAAAAATTGGCTTTTGTATTCTTGGTAGTATTCAGTGAATTTATACCCTGCTTTATATAAGTTACAAATACGTCTGACTGTATATTTAATAGGTGGGTATGTGTACATGTACACCTATACATGTATGTGTGTATGTGTATACAGATACATGTGTATGTGTATACACATACATGTATGTGTATACACATACATGTATGTGTATAACCTTTACTTAGATTTTCATAAAATTCTGCGCAGACTTAATGATGAAGTCTAACAATTTTTATTTTAGTTAACACGAAAAGAGTAAATATTTATAATAAATAATCAAAATTTTTTTCAATTGCGCGCAACTTCTTTAAACCGCTCATCAACAAAGCAGTGTACATTTTGTACGGATCGTAAATCCCTAAAAAATGGTTACATACATACAAACACAAACAAACACACACACACACATACAAACACACACATACAAACATGTATACACACAGAGACACACATACAAACACAGGTAGATGCAAAGAAAGGTCTTTCAAATAAAATATTTAAAATATTAATTATATTAATATAATTGTAATTAATTATTATTGTCATTACTTTTTCTCATATTGCAGTTGATAGTGTAAGAAAACTGTGACGTGAACATTGTGATTGCTATACATTCGGGTAAAATCAGAGGATTCGGACACTGTATATGTGTACGTGTTTGTTTGTTCGTGTGTTTGTGTGTGTGTGTGTGTGTGCATGTTTCTATGTATGTATCTGTATGTGTGTATGTATGTGTATATTATGTATGTGTATGTGTGTAGATTTTTTAAATGAATAAAAATTGACCGTCAAACGTTTAGTGGTGTACATTGCTTCAGTTTTATTAAGCAGTGTGCACATACTGTCCTTACAGTTCTTAAAAAGAAAAATTCTCAAATTAATTACGAATTCAATTTTAATATTTATATATTTAATATTTCAATTTTAATATTTATATATTTAATATTTCAATTTTAATATTTATTCATGATTTTACACTGGAAAAGGTTATAAATGAATAGTAGATGAAAATGAATTCAGTGAACCAAATTTTTCTCAAACTTGAATCATTCCTTGCTGTTTGTGTGACTTCGGGTCGCAAGCCTCATCAATCAGTTTTTTTCGCGGATCACTGTTTAGATCAGCGTTCAAAACCGCGCAGTGCCATTTCTTCAGCTGGTTCAAATCGTCGTTGTCTGATCGAAAACTGACAAGTGGTTGTCACTGTTTCTTCTTTTAATGGTACTTTTCTTACCACTGCCATTTACTGTTGAGTTTTTATGTTTAGTGGCATCGGTGACTGGAGCTAGTAAGAAGCAAGTAAGTAGGAAGATGGCGAGGTGGAAGTTGTGTGCCTTCAGATTCATCTCGGCCTACTATCATTAACTAGTCGTTGAATATTTCTTTTTTGAGATATTTCAAACTAACATTTTGAAAACGCTTTTCTTGTTTTTTATAGTCTTCTCTCTCTCTCTCTCTCTCTCTCTCTCTGTGTGTGTGTGTGTGTGTGTGTGTGTGTGTGCGTGTGTGTGTGAGGAGAGAGAGAGAGAGAATTACAGTAGGAGACTGAGTGAATGAAAGAACATCATCACATTTATCATTCATTCATTGGTCTTTCAATACGCAAACTATCGCATCTTTTATTGCATTAAACGCGTGTTTGTATGATTTTTATACAGAAAGTTGTAGTTACATAATGTGTGTACGTGTGTGTGAAAGAGAAAGAGAGAGACAGAGAAAGAAAGAGAGAGAGTGGGAAAGAGAAAATTTTAAAATTTAAGTATCAATTAAAATAAAAAAAAACACCAGAAAAAGAACACACCGTTTAAGAAAAAGAAAGATAAGCGATATGCATGTCGATACTAAATCGATTAACATTTCGAAAAACACGCCAAAGTTGAAGTTCTATGAGGCATTTTTCTCAAATTTTCTTTTTGAAATTCAGATTTAGATTGATTCTAACTACATTTTATGCAAACTTTTAAAATTATTAACTATTTTTTTTTAATTCATTTCAACGAAAATTGAAATATAGAAACTGAAAGATGCCTAACAACGAACTGGGAAATTTTTCTTAATAAATAAATAAATAGCCAATTTAGTTGTAAATTAATTTACTTATTTATTCATTTTATATTAGCAAATTCATTTTTTGATGTTAAATTGAAAAATTGTGAATGTAAGTTTCGTTAATTCGCTTACTAGATAAGTTACACCAGGGACCCAATCATTTGAAAGAAAACCATCAAACCATCCACACGTGTGCAACTACATCGAGTGAATTTTCATATTTCCAAATCAATCAACAACAAGCTCTTTTGAAAAGATTTTGGTAGATAGAAATATTGAAACAATAATGACAAAAAATAAGAAAAAATTTTAAAATGAATCACTCGTTCACGCGCGATTGAAATTTTAAATTTAAGACTGCCCGTCACCGCCAACATGGGAATGATATGATAAGCCGGAAAATGACGTTAGAATGACATCAACACCACAAAAGTTATAATTGAAGATAACTTCCCCGTTGTTGAATCTTGGTTGGGTGAACCGTGCTTCGAGTCCAACAGCTCATCCTTCAAACTAGGTTTAGCTCTGTTGTGTCATTAATTGCGTACTATTATTTATTACGACCAAATCATTTGTACGATCAAATCATTTGTACAATCTAATAAGATTGACAAGGCTGCAGAAAGTCATAAAAGAGGCACCAACTTGGCAGTGCCACTCTGTTGTTGTTGGGGTCGTCGGGCAGAAATCCCTCGGTGGATTCCTTCGCGGCACTCAACCACGGTCTGTCGTCGATGTTTTGGAAAAAGCTGCAAAAAGCCGGGCCAACTTTGCCGTGTTTTTCAATGGTTGAACAACCAGAAACTCTTCCAGTAGAGGGAATTACTCTCTTTGAGAATGGCTTGGCAGTCTGCTTCTGACATGTTCATGACTTCGTACTGCAGTACCAATGCTTCAACTCCAGCATATCTTGTTCTGGTTCGAGTCGTAAAATGTCGACTGGGGGTACCATTTCGATCTTTCTAGCTGTTTTTCAACTGTTTAGTTCCGGCCAAGGGCATTCTTTTAACTAACTTTTACTTCTTTAGTAACCAATTTTTTGTCATTTTGAGTTTGAGCTATTTCTGGAATGTTTATTTCAGTCTCGTTGTTGTTATCGGCTCGAGTTTTATTCTTTATTTGAGAATATAGATTAGAAACGATTGTATGTTTGCTATTTGTATAGAGAACTTTGGGATTAACATTTAATTTGTCCTTTATATTACTGGAGAAACTATTTTCTTTACTATTATTGCTAATACTTCTGTAAGGACTGATACATTTTAATGCCTAGTTTAAGAAGCTGGTTGGTAGGAGTGCTATAAGCCAGAGAAGAACTGAAACTAAAGCATGCATGGTTTCGCAATTATTGAAAGCTTGTTTGGTTGAATGGTTTTTGAGATATAATTTAATTAGTAATTCGTTTTTTCCATCAATTATTCATTTGTTCATTCCATGTTTATTTCGCTCCAAATTGATAACATTTTTTTAACCGATTACAAAACCATAAATAGAACTTTACTAATAAACAAATCAAACAAGTTAACTTATGTAGCGCTGAATTTTCATTGAAATTTATCTAAAATGCTTTTGTATCGGTATGTTATTGTATTATACTGTACCGAATCGATATCCTATCGGTAAAAATTCGTATCGGTATCTGTATTGTTGTTGTATATCGTTTCAAGTGAAGTTTTATTTGTTGAATTATGAGAACACGTCAAAACATTTGACCAGTATTTTTTAAACTCTCTGTAAATAAACAAATAAAAACCGGTATACCTTTCGCGAATACTACTACTACTACTACGGATCATAATAATAATAATATTTTATTATTATTATTTTGTTTGCCGAGTACTCAGCAAGCAAACAGTCAGCCGGCCAATCATAAAGGTTAATTATGTGTTGAAAAGTTGCAAACATCGATACACACATACAAACATACAAACACAAACACACACACACACACATACACACGCACAAACAAACGGACAAACATACACACATACATACACACATTTTTTTATATTTTCTCAAGCTATGTCTCGGAAAACGGATTGTTTACATTGCATTACATAATAATAACACGTATTATACAAACATACATACATACATACATACATACATACATACATACATACACACATGCACACACACATACATACATACATACATACATACATACATACACACAAAAAAGTTCTTCATATAATAATAAATAATGCAGCTTGAAGGAAAAAACTTTTACTGCTGCATTCATTCATTCATACAATTTTTCACTCAATCATTCTTCCATTCGTTTTTTTCATTCATTCATTTGTTTGTTTTTTCATTCATTCATTCATTCTTTCATTCATTCAACTATCAGTAATTATTGAAATGATAATAAAATTTATTTACAAATAATAATAAATAAATAAATAATAAATAATAATAATAATAATAATAATAGACGAGGAAATAACCAGAAAAAGCACTTAATGATATTTGTTTCAACATTAATGCTACTGCTGCTGCTGCTGCTCAGCTTGCATTCGATCCAGGTCTCGAGAGGTTACATCATCCACGAGACACAAATCATCAACATCAGAGATGGAGACATCCGTCTGTCCAACAGACCACAACTTTTCCAAAATGAAAATGACCCCAACCACAAACCTCCAACTCATCACCGTCAACAAATTCATCATCATTATCAGCAACAAAAGCTACTGAAGCAACAACAGCAGCAACCACAACGGCAGCAGCGACAGCTACCGCATCAGCCACAACATCATATTCCTCGTCTTAGCAACATCCAACAACAACTGTTCAGAAACAGCAGCAACAACAACAACAATCTCGCAAGACACAAGCGAGTTTTTTCAAAACCGTTTGATATAGCGAAAAAGAAAAACCAAATCAATGTGAGGCAGAAAAACGCCACGGAAAACAATCCAGCTAAAAATACGCTGGATGTCTATATTGCAGGAAATCAGAAAGATGATGCCACCATCAGCAAATGGCATTGTACTATCATGAGTGCGGATGTTGGCGAGGGAGATGCCTCGCTAGAATTGTTGAGGAAAGAATCTTGCCCTACCTCTTTCTCCACTAATCCAGTTAGCTTTTCTTTAGTTTTTTTTTTCTCTCTCTCTCTCTCTTTCTCTCTTTCTCTTTCTCTCTCTCTCTCTCTCTCTCTCTCTCTCTTTATCTCTCTCTATCTTCATGTGTACAGTTTGTAAGATTCACTTCGAAAGTTAAAATGTAATTTTTACATGCATACAGATGTGCAAATCCTTCCGCGAATGCCAGACACTCTACAAAACGATGAAAATAATGGTTAATAGATATTATTTTAATAATAAAAATAATAATTATGACAATAATAATAATAATTATTATTATTATTGACAATATTAATAATGATAATTATTATTATTATTATTTATGGTAATTATTTTCGTGTAATGGTTAATGAGTAGGCCCTTAACTGTCGCGGCTTTGCTTGGGTTTGCACGTATTTTGCGCGCGTGTGCCGTTCGTCACAATAATTATTAATATAATTATGATAATAATAATTATAATAATTATAATTGCTTTTATTCAGTTATAATTTAAAAAAAAACTAGCCAGTCAAAGGATTGACAATGGCCGAATGCCTATCTGTCACAATGTATACTTCAGATTTTTATTCTGTCTATAACGCTGACACTCGACTAGGTACAATATTTGTTGTAATAATTATGGTTATAATATTAATAATTATGGTGAAAATAATTGTTATTATAGTTATAATAATAATTATTATTATTAAAACTATAATAATAATTATTATGGTTACAATAATTTCTTGCGCTTCTAAGTTTTCTTTCCTAAGAGGTCCTATACAACTCATGAAATTCAATACAAATACAATATTTATGGCTATAAGAATATTAATTGTAGTTATAATAATACTAATTATAGTTATAATAATAGTAATTATAGTTATAATAATAGTAATTATAGTTATAATAATGAAAATTTTAGTTGTTTCTGTTTTAATTTTGAAGGAAAGACGGATAATTATAAAATTTTCACGGCTCTTCTCTACACGGCAGTTAGAAAATTGGACAATATGCCAGAGTTCAGCATCGTAAATGGAACAGTCTTATACAGAGGTGATTAATTTTTAGGAGTTTTGTTTTTAAAGTTTAAGATGTCTTTATTCGTTCTTTCTTTTATCAATCAATTTTTGCAAGCATTCGCTTATCTGTTTTTTTTCTTCATCAGTCCATAGTTTGACATTAAACATTCTATCAAGCTGCCATTCGTATACATACATGCAATCACTCACTCGCTCGCTCACTCACTCGCTCACTCACTCACTCACTCGCTCACTCACTCTCACTTACTCACTCTCCCTCACTCATTCATTCCTTCATTCATCTATTCATTCATTCACTCACTCACTCATTCATTCATTTGATAGGGATGAAAAATAAATACGACGCACCCGACCAAAGATTTTACTTCAAGCAGTTCATATCGACCACACTTGATCCAGAAATCGCCGGGGGATTTGGTCAGCATTTCTATTATTACAAAATTATAATTATAATAAAATCTCATCATAATACTGTAATAATTACACACACGTACACACACATACGTAGTACACACACACACGTACACACATACACACACACACAGGCAATGACACACTCATCCACTTCGTACGAAACTCGCCATCCATCACGGCCAAAATCCACAAGCTATCCGTCTACCCAGTAGAGGAAGAGGTCCTGCTGGTACCGTTTGAATCTTTTGAGAAGATCGACCAGAAGAAGACGAGCGTCTCGGTCATTATTGAACTGCAAGCTTCTGACAGACAGGATGTGATACGTGGTGTCGCCACTTCATGCCCAAATGCAAAAAATAATCCTTCCTTGCCTTCCTTGCCTCCTTTACCTCCCTTGCCGAATTCTGACCCAAGTCCCAACTCAAGTCCTAGACCTAGTTTTGCTGGTTTCAAGCGGCAAAGTTTGGCGGTGCTGGTAGCTGCGATGACAGCTTCTGTGGTAAGAGGTGGTTGGTTCGGTGGTTTTTAAGATTTTTTTTGGAGAAGTTTTTTCTTTCTATAAATGTTTTTTTTCAGAGTTCGTCACTTTTATTTCATTTTACAGTTGATTTGATTTTTATTTTATTTTGGCTTCAAGAACTTTGGTTAATTTTAAAATAACGAAATTATCTATATATTTACGATAATAATAGCTGTTATTCTCGCTAAAACGAAGAAATAATGTGAAATCACTTCATCAGTTTCATTTAGTCCGCTTTCAAAATGTGAATGAACTTGTTTTGAAAGCCTCTTTCAAGCAGGTTTTAAAACATTTAAATGTTAATTGAAAAATATTCCACATACAAATGCAGGCATAATTTTATAATGTATGCTACGATTTTTAAAATAAAAAATAATGTCATTTTATATCCCATTAAAGTTGTTCTTTCTTTGTCAGCAGTTTTATGTTTCAATCCAACCGTATCAATGATTTTATTCAATCGATAAGATTCGGTAGAATGCTTGCTATCTGTTGAAATGGACCGACCCTATAGTAGTTGTTGCTTAGCTAAAATCGGCCAAATAAAACAATAAAATAATTAAATAAATAAAAATAAATAATTTTAATAACTTGACGATAAATAAATAAATAATAATAATAACTTGATGATGTACCGATGTAGAGATGTACCGTATGAAACGTAATCGACCCTGCCGGTAATCGTAACGGGGTAAAGTTTGATGCCCTATGAACCTACGAAACGAAACGAAACGAAATTTTATTTGCTTCTCAATATTCAAAAATAATAAGGAAGCAGGAAGACCATAATAGAATTTGTATAGAAATTCATCTGGTATGGACACCTATTCAGAAATGTTCTGTGCTCAAACAAAAATGTTCAGTAAATAAAATAATAATTCTATTTCATGAATCATATTGTTGAAAAGCGATTGACTGTGGTTCCTTCGTTTTGATCCTGTTACAATTTTAACTGCTCGTTACAAGTATATACCCGTACATAGGTACGTGCAAACACTCACACACACACACATACACACACACACACACTTACACACAAACTCGCGAGATCACCACATGTGTCAAAGTTCCTTCAAGAAATACATAAGGATTAAAACTGTATTCTTAATTTTGTTATACAACTTTATCTGTGTATGTGTGTGCGTCAGTTTGTATGTGTGTGTGTGTGCAAATGTATATATATATGTGTGTGTGTGTGAGGGTGTGTATGTATGTATGTGTGTATGCATGTGTGTGTGTGTGTGTGTGTGTGTGTGTGTGTGTGTGTGTGTGTGTGTGTGTGTGTGTGTGTATCACATATGTACGTATGTGTGTAAATTGTTTAATTGTTTTACTAACGGCTTAACAATCCAATCGATCAAAAATCAAAGTCTTACTTACATAGACACATTCACACACACACGCACGCACACACACAGACACACAAACACACGCACGCACACAAACAAACACACACACACACAAAGTTTACAAGCCAATGTATACTTGTGAATACCGCGAATTAGATTAGGTAATTATGATAATCACGAGGTCAAAATTGAAGATGACCACAATGTGACTTGTTGCTATATAAGGAGGGGTATTTTTCAGAAGTTTTCAGTCTTGAAGTAAACTCGGAAAGATGTGGAGAGAGAGACAGAAGAGAGAGAGAGAGAAAGAGAGAGAGAGAGAGAGAGAGAGAGAGAGAGGTTAGTTTGCTGATTGGTTGGTTAGTTGGTTGGATGATTGGTCAGTTTATTGATTGATCGAATTATGACCTCCTAATATCTTAGAACGTTATTTCAATGATAAAAATTATAGTTTTATAATAACTTCAGAGTAATTTTACAAATTGGCGGTTAGAAACTCAGCTGAACCCCGAAATGCAGTTGAAAATTGAGAAATAGCTTCTTCTGCATTACGTCGTTCGGCTGACATTTTGATCGTACTGAATCGGCTATAATAAAAATTATGACCTCATAATATCTTATAACGTTATTTCAATAATAACTAATTATAGTTTTATAATTACTTCAGAGTAATTCTACAAAATGGCGGTTAGAAACTCAGCTGAACCCCGAAATGCAGTTGAAAATTGAAATACAGCAAACCTGCATTACGTCGTTCGGCTGAATTTTCAACCGTACTGACTCATCTATAATAATAAATAATAGTAATAATCATTATTATAATTATTGCTATTATCAAAATTATTACCTTATTAAGACATCAGCTGTGCAATTTCGATGCATTTTTCAATGGCTATTGATATCTTGATACCAAACCAACAACCATATCTAACTCGATCGATTATATTCAATCATTCAACTGATTAGTTGACTTGTTTGATTGATTGATTAGACTGATTGATCAGTTGACCGATTGGCTGGTTGGTTTGTTGGTTGGTTGATTGTTATCAATCGCTTGATTCTTTATTTGCATCGATTCGTTCAGCTGGCTGTTTTGTTCAAGGATGATTCTACAACAAATTATTTCATCATAATATCTCATTATATTATTCAGTATTATTAAATTATAGTTTGATAATAAAATTTCTCAGGATCATTTTACAAGATAGTGGTTTGAAACTCAGCTGAACCCCGAAATGCAGTTGTGAATTGAAATATAGCAAACCTGCATTACGTCGTTCGGCTGAATTTTGGACCGCACCGACTCAACTATAATAAATAAATATTATAGCATCATAATAATTAAATTATGATAGTGATGACATCATTAATAACAATTAATAATAATAATAGTATTATTATTTATTTTTATTAGATAGATAGATAGATAGATAGATAGATAGATAGATAGATAGATAGATAGATAGATAGATAGATAGATAGATAGATAGATAGATAGATAGATAGATAGATAGATAGATAGATAGATAGATAGATAGATAGATAGATAGATAGATAGATAGATAGATAGATAGATAGATAGATAGATAGATAGATAGATAGATAGATAGATAGATAGATAGATAGATAGATAGATAGATAGATAGATAGATAGATAGATAGATTGATTGATTAATTAATTGATCAATTGATTGATTGATTGCTTGGTCGTCAATCAGATAACCTTTTTATTTGAAGCAATTTGTACAGTTGGTTGTTTTGATTCATGGAGTGATGTATCAGAGAGAAAATTGCCATTACCATCGTCATCATCATCATCATCGCCGTCATCATCATCCTCATCACTATCATCATCATCCATTTCATCACTACTATCATCATCATCATCTTCATTATCCTCATCATTATCATAAGTGTCACTTGAGTTGAGTTCACTGTTTATATAAGGCCGATGTACTCAAATCGAAACAACTTATTATTCCATCTCCATCATACAAACATAAATACATACATACATACATACATACATACATACATACATACATACATACATACATACATACATACATACATACATACATACATACATACATACATACATACATACATACATACATACATACATACATACATACATACATACATACATACATACATACATACATACATACATACATACATACATACATACATACATACATACATACATACATACATACATACATACATACATACATACATACATACATACATACATACATACATACATACATACATACATACATACATACATACATACATACATACATACATACATACATACATACATACATACATACATACATACATACATACATACATACATACATACATACATACATACATACATACATACATACATACATACATACATACATACATACGTACGTAC